ACCACCACAGCTAGCCCACAACTGAATATATAATTTCAAATTGTGATACAGATTATAATGGAAAATAATAAGGTACTACTATGAGAAACTAAGAGAAGGGATCTAATTCAGAGGGACTCTTTGAGGAACTGACAGTGAGGCCAAGATCTGGAGGATGAGTGGGGTCAGCCTGGAAAAGGGAAGGTGTATGTGTATGGGGAAGGGTTCAGAGTAGAGGCAATGTCAGGAAGAAGGCCCTAGGGCAGGAGAGAACAGTGTGACAGAAAAATTGGGATTGAGGGGAGAGGAGCAAGAGACGGCATTGACTACGGAGGCAGGGCGAGATCTCACAGGGGACACTAGGAATTTCCATGTTGCCTAATACCCTGACCTTATCTCTTGCTCTTTTTTTTTTTTTTAATATTTAGATATGGGGGAGAGTCTCACTGTGTTGCCCAGGATGGAATGCAGTGGCTATTCACACGGGCAATCGTAGCACATGGCAGCCTTAAACTTCTGGCTTCAAGTGATCTTCCTGCCTCAGCCCTTGAGTAGCTGGAACTACAGGCATGTGTCACCATGCCCAACTTGACTTTATCTCTCTTTTTTTTTTTGAGATGGAGTTTCCCTCTTGTTGCCCAGGCTGCAGTGCAGTGGTGCAATCTTGGCTCACTGCAACCTCTGCCTCCTAGGTTCAAGCAACTCTTCTGCCTCAGCCTCCAAAGTAGCTGAGATTATAGTCACGCACCACCGTGCCCGGCTACTTTTTGTATTTAGTAGAGACAGAGTTTCACCATGTTGACCAGGCTGGTCCTGACCTCAGGTGATCCACTCCCCTCGGCCTCCCAAAGTGCTGGGATTACAGGTGTGAGCCACCAGCCCGGCCTGACCTTATCTCTTGAGCTGGTTGCCCCTCTCCAGTCCTGGGCCTCTAGGCCTTGGTCTCCAGCAGCTCCCTGCAGTTGCAAGGCTGCACGATTCCCCACGACTCCTCCCACTTCCCCAGGACCTCTTCATAGTAGCAGATGCTCCTTGTACCTTATCAGTGTCCCCAGGAGGTGGAATGGTAGAATTCTCATGTTTTGTGTGGGACGTTCAGGTTCAATTCATTGCCTTTGCAATGACCTTCCCTCTCAAGAGATAGCATAGTTCGGTGGTGAAAAGCACAAACTCTGGAGCCAAGCTGCCTGGGTTTAGATAGTGGCTTTGTCACTTACTTGCTGTTTGACTTTGCCAAGTTACTGAACTGCTTCAGGCCTCATGTGTAAAATGAGGATGACCATCATCGTCTCCTGGGAGTGTTATGAAGCAATACTTGTTAAGTGTTTAGGACAGAGCCTGGCATATAGGTAATAGAATAATCTCCCCCTTATCTTCAGGGACGACATTCCAAGACCCCCAGTGAATGCCTGAAACTGCAGATAGTACCAAATTCTATATGGGTCATGTTTTTTTTTTCTATACATACTTACCTATGATAAAGTTTAATTTTAAAATTAGGCACAGTAAGAGATTACCAACAATAACTAATAATAAAGTAGAACAATTATAATGATATGCCAGTATCACTACTCTTGTGCTTTGGAGCCATTATAAAGTAAAATAAGGGTTACTTTTTTTTTTTTTTTTTTGAGACAGAGTCTTGCTCTGTCGGCTAGTCTAGAGTGCAGTGGTGCAATCTTGGTTCACTGTAACCTCTGCCTCCCAGGTTCAAATGATTCTCAGTGGGCCTCAGTCTCCCGAGCAGCTGGGCTTACAGGTGTGCACCACCATGCCTGGCCAAAATAAAGGTTACTTGAACACAAGCACTGTGATACCGAGGCAGTGGATCTGATAACTGAGATGGCTACTAAGTGATACAGTAATGGGTGGGCAGCATCTACAGTGTGGATACACTGGACAAAGAGATGACTCATATTCCAGGCGGCATAGAGTGGGATGGTGTGAGATTTCATCACGCTACTCAGAATGGTGGCAATTTAAAACTTATGAATTATTTCTGGAATTTTCCATTTAATGTTTTCAAACCATGATTGACCACAGAAGGCGAGACCACATACATAGACATATACAGTAGCCCCTTCTTATCTGTGTAACTGAAACTGTGGAAAGCAAGACCATGGATAAGAAGGGGCTACTGTACATGAGTGGGTTTTTTTTCTTTTCCTTTTTTTTTTGGAGGCAGAGTTTCACTATGTTACCCAGGCTGGTCTCAAACTCCTGGGCTCAAGTGATCCTCCTGAGTCGGCCTCCCAAAGTGCTGGGATTACAGGCATGTGCTTGGTCCAGAGTGGTGTTTTTTGTTTGTTTGTTTGTTTTTGTTTTTGAGATGGAGTTTCGCTCTTGTTGCCCAGGTTGGAGTACAGTAGTGCAATCTCAGCTCACCACAACCTCCACCTCCTGGGTTCAAGCGATTCCCTTCCTCAGCCTTCCAAGTAGCTGGGATGACAGGTGTGTGCCACTATGCCCGGATAATTTTGTATTTTTAGTAGAGATGGGGTTTCTGCATGTGGGTCAGGCTAGTCTTGAACTCCTGACCTCAGGTGATTCACCCCTCTGGGCCTCCTAGAGTGCTGGGATTATAGGCATGAGCCACTGTGCCCAGCCCAGAGTGTTTCTTAAATGAAATCCCCAGCAATAAACCAGTACAACATCTCCTGTTTTCCTAGCTCACCCCCATGTTCTCCCAGTCCCGTCCCTAGGTCTACAGCAGGGAGCAAGAGGCCGAGCCTGCTGTTCTCTCTACTTACCCACTTTTTCGTCCAAGGCATCTTCTGGCCACAACTCTGGTACTTAAAAAACAGCCAGGTGCGGTGGTGTGCACCTATAGTCCCAGCTACTCTAGAGGCTGAATGGAGAGGATCATTTGAGCCCAGGAGTTTGACTCTAGTCTGGGCAACATAAAAAAAGAGAGTAGGTAGAGCTGAGGTCACCCCACCTAGCCCTCCTCACCCCCAGAATAAAAGATGTTCCCAACGGTAGGTTCCAGTCAAATCAAGGTGGATTGGTGACTCCCCTTCCTTCTCTCTCTCTCCTCCTCTCCCACCACGTCTCCCCTCCAGCTATTTTCAGAGGCTGCGAGTATTCTGAATACACTAAATATGTCACTGATCCACCTGCACCTGGAGCCCTGCTTTCTGGGCCTTGGTCCTGATCCCCACAGCTGAGTTCAGTGCTCACCTACATGCTCCCATCCCACCCCATGCTTATTCCCAATGTGGAACTTAGCACTTCTGCATCATAACCACCAGCTTTCTTGTCAGTGTCCTTGAGGGCAGCAGCTGTCTGCCTGTTCTCTGTTGCATCCCAGGGCCTACATATGGCACTTACCACTCTAGCCTCATTTCTCACCAGTTCTCCTCCTGGCATCTCTGAGCCAGCCACGAGGGCCTGCTGTCAGCTTCTCAGGTCTGCTGTTTCCTCTCAGGGCCTTTCCATGTGCTTCCCTCCATGCCCAAAGTGCTCCTCCTCAGGTCCTCACCTGGCCAGCCCCTACTCCTTCTTCAGGTCTCAGCTTACCTGTCATTCCAGAAAGCTTTCCGTGAAGCCCCTGGTCTAGGTAGGTGGCCCTCCTTTGGGCTCGCCCAGCACCACAATGCCCGCTGTATTTTAAGATCTCTTTGTACCTCCCACTTGCCTGCGGAACTCAGGTAGGGCAGGGGCCATGCTTATCTAACTTGCTGTTGCATCTGGTGCCTAGCCCAGAGCCCAGCTCCTAACAGACAAGGGTTTATGCCCTGGGGCCCATGGGTGAGCTGCCAGGGGTTCATGAGGCTCCCAAAATCACACAAAAATGTCTGTAGCGTTTATAGTGCGTTCTTTTTGGGAGACAATCTGTATTTTTGTGTGTGTGACATTTGAATAGCACTGTATTTTTTTTTTATCATACTCTCAAAGGATATGTGACACCCCTGCCCCCTAAAAAAGGTTAAGAATCAGTGTGTGGGCTAGGTGCTGTGGCTCACTCCTGCAATCCCAGCACTTTGGGAGGCCAAGGCTGGCGGATCACCTCAGGTCAGGAGTTCAAGACCAGCCTCACAAACACTGAGAAACACTGTCCCTACTAAAAATACAAAATTAGCTGGGCGTCGTGGCACATGCCTGTAATCCCAGCTACTCTGGAGGTTGAGGCAGGAGAATCGCTTGAACCCAAGAGATGGAGGTTGTGGTGAGCTGAGACTGCACTATTGTACTCCAACCTGGGCAACAAGAGCAAAACTCAGTCTCTCTCTTTAAAAAAAAAAAAAAAAATTTATAGAGACAGGGTTTCAAAAGGATAGTCTCGATCTCCTGACCTTGTGACCTGCCCACCTCGGCCTCCCAAAGTGCTGGGATTACAGGTGTGAGCCACCGTACGTGGCCAAAACTCCGTCTCAAAAAAAAGAGTCACTGTAGGTAGGCATTCTGTAAATACTTATTTTTGATTGGATGCATCCATTGTGACTATAATAGATGATACTCAATAAACATTATTGAATGAATGAATGAGCCTCCTCTTCACAGAGTGTTGTAATTGTTTTCAATGGATCAAGGAAAACCTCAGAAGAAACCATTGCCAGAAAAAAGTTAAAGTGCCCCTTGCTTCAGCCCCTGACTCTGTAGTTCTAAATACCCGGCTTCTCAGTGGGGCCCACAGCTTAAGAACAATGCTTCATAGGCTCACAGCCCCTGCCAGAACCCATCTCCTGCCCTGAAATCCACCTACTGCGCCTTTGCAGCCTGTCAGCTGAAAATAATCCCAGTGAAGGCAGGGGTTGGGTGGTAGCAGAGGAAGCAGGCCCACACACGCCTTTAATACGGGGGACTCTGCCCCCTGCTGGCTGCCCAGCTCCCCTTCAGCGCGCGGCCGAGAGCCCAGTGGCTCCGACTGAGGTCATAACCGGGAAAGAAGGAGCGAGGCGGAGGCGCCTCAGGAGGGGCTGTCGCCCACTGGGCAGTCTTCCCACCGACGACTAGGCTTTGTCTTCAAAACAAGTCAGAGGTGGTAGCTTCTGCTTTGGAGCCCCCTCGCTTCTTTTCTGCGCTCTCCCGACTTCGACTTCCAAATCAGGAGCTTAGGGAGGGCAGGAGGCGTGGTGGGGGTGGTGGTCCTTCTGGAGCTCCAGGGAGGTCCAGTCATCCAGACTGGCTTTCTCATCGATCTCTTTCCCCAGAGTCTGGTTACTGGCGGCACCTTTGGATTCTCGGCCAATTCTCCGCTTCGCCTACACTTGGCGTGTGGTGTACCAACCTCCCCGCGTCGCCATGGAAACAGGAGCCTCTGCATCCATCCCAGAGCTGATCTGTGAAGCTATGAGAAGAATCTGGAGGGGTGGGGAGTGGGGGGTGGGTGGCAGAGAGATAAAGGAAGGGGAAAAGGGAAGACGTTCAGAGAAAAATATAGAAAGAAATAAATCTGGGTGAAGGGGCGGGATTGTTTTAGAAAGGTTACTGAATAACTTTTACTCTGTGGAGAGGGTCAGCTTCCTTGACAGACCATAAATGTAGTCCTCTCATGGTCAGTCCGAGCTAGCCGAACCTCCTCACAGACTATCAGTTAGTAGCCACATAACCTTGAGTGAGCGACTTAGCCCCTCTAAGCTTCACTTTTCTTGTCTGTGAAATAAAAATAGTAGCAACGCTCCACAGGGTTATTGCAAAAACCAGTGAGGGGTGATCCATATTCAGCACTTAATACAGTGCTTGGCACATAGTGAGTGCTCAAAAATGTAGTTATGGTTGTACACGCTTGTGTATCTTTAGTAATGATGTCTGTTATTTCTTTTCTTTTTTTTAAAGAAAGAAAGAGAAAGAGAAAGGGGGAGAGAGAACAGGAGTCTTGCTCTATTGCTCAGGCTAGAATGCAATCTAAAAATAGGTATTAAAAACCTCTTTTATGCCGATAATTGTGCTTAACATCGGAGACAGGAAGGAATAAGGGAAGAAAATAACAAACAAACAGCCAAACAATATTTAAGTCTGTGAAATGCTATGCAAATACTGAAGAGTGATTTACTTCCAATTATATGGTCACTTTCAAAATAGGTGTAATATGATACTGAGAAAAATGTATGTTCTGTGGACCTGGGGTGAAGAATTCTATAAATATTCACTGAGTTTACTTGTTCCAGGTCTGAGTTCAAATCATAGATGTCCCTGTTAATTTTCTATCTCGTTGATCCGCCGAATATTAACAATGTGGTGTCAAAGTCTCCCGCTGTTATTGTGCGGGAGTCCAAGTCTCTGTATAAGTCATTAAGAACTTGGTTTATGTTATCTGGGTGTTCCTACATTGGGTGCATATATATTTATGACTCCTGTTGTTATTGATCCTTTTACCATTATGTAATGTCCTTCTTTGTTTCTTTTAGTCTTTGTTACTATTAAAGTCTATTTTGTCAGAGACGAAAGTTACAACTCCTGTTTTTTTTTTTTTTTTTTTTTTTTTTTTTTTTTTTTTTTTTTTTTTTTTTTTTTTTGCTCTCCGTTTGATTGGTAAGTCTTCCACCAACCCTTTGTTTTGAGTCTTTGTGTCCTTGCTTATGAGATGGATCTGGATACAGTGAACCCATGGGTTTTGACTTTTTATTCAATTTGCCTGTCTGTGTCTTTGATTGGGGCACTTAAACCATTTAAATTTAGGATTAATATTGATATTTGTGAGTTTAATATTGTCATTTAATGCTAGTTGGCTATTTTGCCCATTAGTTGATATAGATTCTTCATTATGGAGATACTCTTTACCTTTTGGTAAGTTTTTGGGATGACTGATACTGGTTGTTCCTTTCTGTGTATAGTGCTTCTTTCAGAAGCTCTTGTAAAGCAGGCCTGGTGGTGCTGAAATCTCTGAGTGCTTGCTTGTTCGTGAAAAATTTTATTTTTCCTTCATTTATGAAGCTTAATTTGGCGGGATATGAGATTCTGGATTGCAAATTATTTTCTTTGAGGATATTGAATATTGACCCCCCACTCTCTTCTAGTTTGTAGGGTTTCTGCTGAGAGATCTGCTGTGAGTCTGATAGGCTTCCCTTTATGGGTAACCTGACCTTTCTGTCTAGCTGCCCTTAGAATTTTCTCCTTTATTTCAACCCTGGTGAATCTAACGATTATGTGTCTTGGGGTTGCTCTTCTTGAGGAATACCTTTGTGGTGTTCTCTGTATTACCTGGAGTTGAGTATTGTCCTGCCTTACTAGGTTAGGAAAGTTTTCCTGAAGAATATCCTGAAAAATATTTTCCAGCTTGGATTCATTCCCTTCATGACATTCAGGTACACCTATCAAACGTAAATTAGGTCTTTGCACATAGTCCCATATTTCTTGGAGACTTCGCTCATTCCTTTTTACTCTTTCTTCTCTAATCTTGTCTTCTCATTTCATTTCATTAAGTTGGTTTTCGACCTCTGATATCCTTTCTTCTGCTTGATCAATTCAATTGTTAAAACCTGTGCATACTTCGCGGAGTTCTCGTATTCTTCAGTTCCATTAATTCACTTATATTCCTCTCTAGATTGTCTATTCTCGTTAGGATTTCATCAAACCTTTTTTCAAGGTTCTTAGCTTCTTTACATTGGGCTAGAACATGTTCTTTTAACTCACAGAAGTTTCTTATTATCCACCTTCTGAAGCCTAAATCTGTTAATGGAACGCACTCGTTCTCCATCAGGCCTTGTTCCCTTGTTGATGAGGAACTGTGATCTCCTGTAGAGGGAGAGGCATTCTGATTTTGAGTATTCTCAGGCTTTTTACGCTGGTTTCTTCCCATCATTGTAAATTTATCCACCTGTCATCTTTGTAATTACCGACTTTCAAATTAGGTCTCTGAGTGGATGTCCAACTTGTTGATTCCCAGGCCAGAATCTGAGCAACCCACTGCGCAGGCCAAAACGGCAGCATTAAGGTTCTTGGTGCTTTTCTGCCCGGCAATCTCCGGTCTGGCTTCCTTCTTGAGTCCCTTTTTCAATCAGCTGAACAGGCGAGTGTGCCTTCCCGGAGCTCCAAACGTTGACCAAAAGGAGACCCAGTCCCGTTTACGCTGCACCAAGAACCTCTGCGCCAGCCACAAGAGTCATGCTGGCGACCGGCGGGGCTCCTCCGCTGGGAATCTCCTGGTGTGTGAGCAACAAAAATTTGTCTGAAAGTGTGGCGTCCTCTTGTTCTCTGCGCTTTCACTGGGAGCTACAATCCCGAGCTGCTAGTGATCAGCCATCTTGGATCTCTCTCCTATGTCTGTTATTTCTATATTTATTTTTCCTCTGCTGAATTGTCAGCCCTTCAATAATATCTTAATAATAATACCTAATAATGGGCCGGGCGCGGTGGCTCAAGCCTGTAATCCCAGCACTTTGGGAGGCCGAGGCGGGTGGATCACGAGGTCAAGAGATCGAGACCATCCTGGTCAACATGGTGAAACCCCGTCTCT